CTACCTCTACCTGTCAAATGCTGGGATTAAAGGTGTGTCTCACCACAGCTGGCTTCAAAGATAACATATTTTTGGATTAATTATGGAGTTGCTTGTGTGTTTGGCCCTATAGGCCTCACTTTTCGTCTTCTCTTTGGGCTCTTAGGCCTGGGAGAAGGGAGAGCAAAATGAACAGGCAGGAGAGCACCGTTGCTGTGGCTTCACCTTATTCCCTGTGACTACTGGTAAAATCAGCCAGGCATTCTGGGCACTTGCCTTAATGAAAACTTAGGAATTTTATTGTTTTTTCCCAAGAAAATAGGCAAAGGCAAAATCTACAGTGTGAAGAGTAACTTAAAAGCAGACTTGGGGATATAGTTCGTTTGGTAGAGTGCTTGCCAACAGGCACAAAACCCTAGGTTCAACTTTCAACACCACATAAACTGGGCTTTGTGGCACATAGCTGTGATCCCAAGCTGGAGCAAGTGGAGGCAAGTTCAGCGTCTTCCTAGGCTACCTAGCGCTTTTGAGGCCAGCCTGGGCTACATGAATCTCAAACAGAAAGAGTAACATAAAAGGAAACTCTTACAGCTCTTCAGAGTCTTAAGTGTTTTTAATCAAATTCCTAACAATATGGGTCTCTAGGGCTCCCTGCACACCAGGTGCATGTCTATAGGGTGAAGCTCAAACTGGGCTTCAGTTCGAGCTTTGCTGCTCCTGTCAGGAGGACTACAGTTCCCTTGGTGGACTGTAGCAAGGTTAATGATCATTACCCAGCTGGACATAGTGGTATACACCTGAGACCCCAGGACTCAGGAGGCTGAGGCAAGAGGACTCAGTTGATCAAGGCTGGACTACATAGTGAGACCCTATTCTACCATATAGGGATACTGGGAGTCTGCACAAAATGCTAATTTCTGTAAGGTGTTTTCGAAGTGTTTGGTGTATAACAGATCATCATGGTGGATACTGATGCCTATACATTTCATTTCTTCACCCACAGGAGAAAAAGCTGTAACATAGAGAAAGCAATCTTTAGTAATTTACTTTAAATTGAAGGAACAACCTGTTTCTATCCTATGGAGGGAACTACATATAGCTTCCAGTTCTACGTGGAATTGCAACAGCTCCCATTTTTAAGTACTGTTAAAAATGTATTCTCAGCCGAGCATGGCGGTGCATGCCTTTAATCCCAGCACTTGGGAGGTAGAGGCAGGTGGATCTTTGTGAGTTCGAGGCCAGCCTGGTCTACATAGTGAGTTCTAGGACAGCTGGGGCTACAGGGAGACCCTGTCTCAAAAAGACTAAAAAAAAAAAAAAAAAAAAAAAAAAAAAGTATTCTCAAGTTGCTCCTCATCAAGTTGAAAGAGTTGGTTTTTAAAAATATCTATTGCTGCCAGGTGTGGTGGTGCAAGCCTTTAATCCCAGCACTCAGGAGACAGACGCAGGCGGATCTCTGTGAGTTCAAGGCCAGCCTGGTCTACATCGTGAGTTCCAGGACAGCTGGGGCTACAGGGCGACCCTGTCTCAAAAAGACTAAAAAAAAAAAAAAAAAAAAAAAAAAAAAATTATTGCTTTTATTTTTATTTTATGTATATGAGTGTATTGCCTTCCTGTGTGTAAATGCACCCATGTTGTGCAGTGCCCGAGGATGTCAGAAGAAGGCATTAGATCCCCTAGAACAGGAGTTAAAAATGGTTGTTAGCCACCATTTGGGTACTGGGACTCAAACCCAGGTCCTCTGCAAGAACAACTAGTGCTCTTAACTGCTGAGCCATCTCTCTAGCCCCTGAGTATAGATTCCTGCTAGTAAATGTTTTAATTGGAAGAATGTAGGCAGTGAGTAAGAGGCAGTACTGATCCCATCACATATGTGTTCCCATCACAAACACATCCTTTTTCTGCAGTGTGATTTGTGATTATGGGCCCTTTCCCATCCTTCTCATCCTCTTTTCTGTTTGACATTCTAGACAAGCTGGTCTTCAGGTTCTGGTTTCCTGCTTTTAAGGAGATGGACTGGCAATGGAATATGATGCTATTTTTGGCATAACAATCTGAGAATCCCTGAGACTCTGCATTATAACTAGGGAAAATGGCAAATCACTGAACATGCCTCTGCTATTGTTGACAGTAATCTTGGCTTGCAGTAGCTTGAGCAATGGGTCTGAAGAGTCATTTACTTTCAATTGAGTACATACTGTGGTCATTTTTCACTACAGGGTATTGAACAGTTAGTTGCTTCCTTCCTCTTGAATTGGAGGCTCTTGGATGGAGAACGTCATTTTGTTTAATAGATCATGATTTGTTCATCCAGTTGGTTTTATGGATGATGTATCATTGATGATAATATCTATCACATGAGTACCGACTGTACCAAAGCATTCTGTCTAACAACAGAGCTGGGGTAAACATAAGCAGGATGTGGTGCCTTTTCCATGGCAGAAATGGGTAAACCAAGAATGTTAACCCTTATTCTGATGTAAAGTGGAATAGTGTCTTGTAGTAGGTTCATCATACTCAAGGCACTAATTTTTAGTGAAGAGGCTGAGTTGAATTTACCAGCCCTATGGAGGGCCTGTGTAGTGGAGGATGAAGCGCTGAACAGCTCCTCAAGAGTGTCAAGCCCCCTGCCTTGGAAATGGATCTCTGTGATGCAGGCCATTGGAGCTCTCTGATGAGGAAAGTGGAGGTTAAATCTGTGGTTCTGAAAGGCAATCTGATGCTTACAAGGTGGACTGTGTGGTTAGAGAGAAGCTCCATACTGACAGTGGGATCCATAGGAGCCATTTAAGCTAGGTGTGAGGAGGGTCTGAACCACTAGTGTCAGGAGAGAAAAGAAAAAGATGCTTTTGAGTATGCTTTTAAAGGATGATGGAACATAATTTGGTAACTGGTTTACTCTGGGGAAAGGAAGCTCAAAGAATTGAAAATGATAGCTTTCTAAGTGATGTTACTGGGAAACCAGCATGCCAATAATTAACATAGAGGGACCAGGGTTGACTGTGGGGTGGGGGACATGTAATAGTGGGGTTAATGATGTGTAATTTTATGGCCCTTATAAGATACAAGACCTATTAAGTACTTAGAAATTCTTGTCTAGCAGATAGGAGTGGGGGATTGGGGTGTAGAAGTTAAACCTTAGCTTATAAGAAATTCTTCACTTATTGTAGGAGCACTTTTCCTGAAAAGTAGAGTGAGCAAGACCTAAGAATGGAGGGTTGGCAACTCCTCCCATGTAAGGATTCAATGATGGGCTCAGGAAGGATTTGGATCCCTGAAGAGGGTTTCAGCAGGATCAGGCTGTACTCAAACTGGCAAGCGCCATGACTGAAAGGGGCTTTAGAAAGGATAATAAGAACTATGTTTCCTGCTTATTAATTGTTGAATTAAAAAAATATTCTTATGGGGCTGGAGAGATGGCTCAGGGGTTAAGAACACTTTCAGTTCTTCCAGAGAACCCGGGTGTGATTCCCGGCACCACATGGCAGCTAACAACGATCTGTAACTCCATTCCAGGGACTCAGACACCTTCTTCTGGCTCTGCAGGCACTATACACATGTGATACACTCACATACGTGCAGGCAAAAACTCATACACATAAAATAAAAATAATAAATTAAAATTTCTTCTAATGCACACATTTTCACGCTACTGAAAACTAGAAGTGTAACTCTTTATTACTGAGCCTCAATCATTATTATTTTGTCAAACCTGTTTCATCCCACCCATCTGAGGCCAGAAAAGGATGCAGACTACTTTATAGACTATCAGACCCGTCATTTCTCTCCTGCTTTGGTTTGTAGTAGCTCATAAGTCCATTCATTTCTACATAACTGTGTCATTGTTACCAAATTGAAGAAATGAATTCCTTACTATAACCTCATTTTATTTAGATAATTTGAAGTCTTTGAGAGCCACTTTAGTCATACTTTTTACTTTCACGCAGAAAAATTTGTAAGGTTCATTTGGAAGGTAGGCAGTGTCCAGAGGAAGGTGATAAAACGCTCTCTGAAGGGATGCTTTTGCCATGTTGCAACAGTGAGCTTCGCTGGGAAGCTATGCTTGATACTTGTGTATGCATTCATCCCCTGGGAACAGCAATAGGCATCTAAGATGATTTTCTAGATTTAGATGACCTTGAATTAAAATACATATCTAAATGTACTGCCACAATTTTGCCTCCTCTGACACACAAACTGTCTGCCTTCTTATTCTAGAACATAGGACTTTGTCTGGAGTCATTTTTCATTCCCCTGACCTTGGGTGGAGGAGTTGAAGACATCTGATGAGAGGAGAGAAGGGATGCACAGGGCAGCCTCTCATGACGATGACTTAACCCACCCCAAACACCACTAGTGCAGTCCTGAGGAATAGAGTTTTCCAGCAGGGGACTGCTTCACTGTTCTGTTTGCATACCAACCTGTGGTTCAGGGTTGTTTGTCTTTGGAGAGAGGCTAATGTTCCTGTATAGATGTTGTGTTGGGTTGTTTTGTTTTGTTGAGACAGCGTCTCACTATGTAGCCCTGGTTGGCCTGGAACCTCTTAGGTAGATCAAGTTTGCCTTGAACTCAGAGATCCATGTGCCCCTGCTTTCTGGCTGCTGGGATTAAAGGTCTGCACCAGCATACCTAGCCCTGCATCTGTTTTTACTTTCATCTGGATCCCCTAAGCTGGGTTAGGCCAGATCTTTGAACCTACTAAACTTCATTCTTAGCTTTATTTGTGTATCAGATTCTAGAAGAGAGGATTTGATTTTACGATTTTGTCTCTTCTTCCTCCTCCTCCTCCTCCTCCTCCTCCTCTCCTTCCTCTTCCTCTGCCTCCTTTTGAAACAGAGCAAAGTTCTCTCTCTCAAAGGAGACAGTAGCTTAGGAGTGTTATTAAACAGTCAGGTGGGAGCCTGCTAATTCAAGATGTAGTCTATTTCTTTTGTCTGATTTTAAAATGAGCAGTAATTTTCAGTAACAAAGTAAAACAAACAAACAAAAAAACCTAATAATTTTACCTTTTCTGACTGTAGGAAATACAATTGGAGCATGCTAAGCAAGCCTTTGTACAACGGGACAGTGCCAAGACTGGAAGAGTTACAGCCATTGACTTCCGGGACATTATGATCACTATCCGGCCTCATGTCCTGACTCCTTTTGTTGAAGAATGTCTAGTAGCTGTAAGTTAAGCATTTTCCTAATGAAGTAGTTTATTCTACCTCATTTATGCTCATTGAGCAGGAATAGTAAAGAAAAATTCTTAGAAATTATATAGGCTTTTTTTCCTGTTCAAAACACAAATATTTTCTTAATGCAATTACATACATTACCTGACTTGTAAACAAGAAATATCTATTGGTTCATTTTAGTGGGTATGTGGATTTATTGATTGAATTATATGGAGCATTTAAGGAAGTGTGCAGTTGTCCCTCAGTGTCATGGGGGGGACTCTTTCAGCTACCCAGACACTGTTACAGATACCCAGATCATCATCTTTGTATATAACTGACACATATCTTCTCATACTTTAAATCATCTCTGGATTATTTGTGTAAAAAAAAGCACAGTATAAAGTTTTGTCATACTGTATTGTTTAGGGAATAATGACAAGATAAAACACATGTACATGTTCAGTGCAGATAACAATTTCCCTTCCAAATCTTCTCAAAATTGTGGAAATTGTGCATATGGAAGTCATGGATATAGTGGGCCCATCTGTATTAACAGATTAGAAAAAAGATAAAGGAAAAACAAAATAAATTTCTAAGTACATGGTAGTTTTACTACATTTTGAGGTATGTCAAATGCTGATCTTCATGTTTCTTCTTTAAGGACAAAGGGGGGGGAAGTGCCTCCCCCCCATTTATTGCTTTTGGTATCATGAGCAGACCAGAAACTGTAAAGCTTGAATCTCTCATTGGTTCGTAGTATCTGTTGAGGACACAGTGGCACCTGTGATGGGCAGAGCCCCGTTGTCATGTATCGTGGCTCTCTCATCCCTAGGATATCCATCCGTTGTCCTTATCTCCAGGAGCCTAAAGTGTTGTACAGCATGTTGGATTCCTAAGCCATGGCTATGGCACATCAGGATGACCAAGGGTAGCCGTTATCAAGAGTCCGGGTTTCCTCCAGGCCCAGTGTTCACCATCCATATGTGGCCTGGTCTTAGAATTGAAATGATGAAGCTTCTAGGTGATTGTCATAAGCACTCATATTTGGGAACGTTCTCTGTAGAAACTCCTTTTGTAGACTTGTCTGAGTTTCCCACTGTGCTTGCTTACCATCAGCAGTGGCTCCACAAGCCTTTCAGGTTTCCTTTTCTTTCTTATGCTTCCAGTTGCAGATGTGGCCTTCAGACAGGGCCTTTCCCATTCTGGCATGACGTTAATCTCACTTCTTTTCTCCCCTTCCCCTTTCCTACTCCACAGTATACTCTTATGTCAGCCATTTTAATGATTACTAAGTGAAGATTTATGTGGTTGTTAACTTACAAAGAAGTGTTCTTCTAATAGAAATATTTTGCCTTGTTAGGGAAGGATAGAATTTGAAACCCCAAACTGAAGTTCCATTCACAGTGGACATGGTGTCTGTCTCCCTTGTCTCCTGTGAAGAAATATGTTCCCTTAAAAATTGTGATTAGCAGAATTCTGACCAGTCTTAACCTCCATCCAAGCATACAACATCTCATAATTTCACCATAATGCACTTGTTTTTAGCAATCCTGCCAATGTGAAGTCAGTGCCTAAGTAACTGCTTATAGCTGGTTTAAATGTTGTGACAAGTCTTGCTATTAAGGCTACACTAGCCAACTAGCCACTTCTCACTGTATGTCTGCATGGGTAGAATCCGGTTTTGCATGTATAAACACATGCACGTGTATAATATAGTTTTGCGTGTTTAAGTCCTTAAGATTTGCTCATTAGATGAAATAAACCAACTTATAAAACATTTCCAACTGAAATTTGAACTCTGTAAATTACTACTGGTCCTATTATAATCCTACACATGTATTTATTTAGTTTTCTAGGAGTTGTATGTAAAAACTCTGAGTTCTGGTCATGATTAGTTGCAGTTACTTCTAAAAATCATTTATAGCCTTTTTTTAATGTAAAATAAAAATCTGTATGGCCGTTTCTTGTACATGCATTTTTGGCTACTTCCAAAGTAGCATTAAATAAGTACTTTTGGAACATCTTCACTTATGCATTTTCTGTTTTTCTTCCTCTCTTTCTTCTTTTCAATTTACCAAGGCTGCTGGAGGCACTACATCCCATCAAGTTAGTTTCTCCTATTTTAATGGATTTAATTCGCTCCTTAACAACATGGAACTCATTAGAAAGATCTACAGCACTCTGGCTGGCAACAGAAAAGATGTGGAGGTGACTAAGGGTGAGTGAGAATATATCAGAATTCTTGCTTCGAGTATCTTAGGGTGAGGAAGGCAACCAGGAGTTTATGTTTCAGATTTTCCTATTCCATTCGTATATGTTAATCATTTGGTACATGTATGCCTTCCATCCTGGGATCAGACAAACAAAAGCAAACAAAACAATCTTCTCTGAGTTTTAAATAAACTGAAGACAGCCTTGAATGAAGAAAAGACATAAAGCTTATTGAATAGTTTCAGTTCTTGCTGGAACTTGAGCTAAATTGGTAGCCTGGTAAGTGGTCCTCAGAAATACACGAAGAATTCCACAAACTTGTATTGATAATGGTATAATGTGATCTGTGATTCTTGAAGAAGATATCAGCATTTCAGTATGATTTTTGAAAAAAGAAAAAGAGAATTCCTTTAGGAATTCACAGTATCATTAACATAAGTTCATTGAAGTTTCATATATACCTCTTCATTTTCTTTGCCCTACAATTTGAGAAACAGCCTATGTCATTTATTCAGAGTCTTCAGATGGAACCAAGCTTTTAATCTAAGTGTTGGGGAAAGTATTCTGCGTTCTCTTTCCAAGTGACTGAAAACTGGAAGTTCTTGGCCCGCTTGGAGTGACTATACTCCTACACCTTATCATAATGATGTGTTGATGCCTGCTCCTTCCTGTGCTTTGAATGTGTACAGAAGTTGGTGCTTTCAATCTTTCCCTCCTTTTTTTCCATACAGAGGAGTTTGCTCTGGCAGCCCAGAAATTTGGTCAGGTTACACCCATGGAAGTTGACATCTTGTTTCAGTTAGCAGATTTATATGAGCCAAGGGGGTAAGTTGTTTTTTTTCTCTTTTCATCTTAATTAGTTTAATAAAAGGAGGTTAGAAAGTAGGTGTAGGAAGAAGACAGCAATTGGGAAAGAAAGAAGCCAAATGAAGGGCAACACTGACATACAGAAAATGTGAAAGGAACTCTCTGAAATTCCATAATGTGAATTTTTAAAATATTTTATTATTTTTATTTTATGTGTATGAGTGTATTGCCTGCATGTGTGTAGGTGCATCCATATTGTGTGATGCCTGTGTAGGTCAGAAGATGGCATCATATACCCTGGAACTGGAGTTACAGACAGTTGTTAGTTGCCATGTGGGTTCTGGGACCTGGATCCTCTGCAAGAATAGACAGGGCTCTTAACCGCTGAGCTACTCTCCAGCCCCATTATATGAATTTAATAAATGGGAATTTTATTGTTGCTTATACTTGTTTTCTTCCCAGACGTATGACCTTAGCAGATATTGAGCGGATTGCTCCTCTTGAAGAAGGAACTCTGCCCTTCAACTTGGCTGAGGCCCAGAGGCAGGTGAGAGTTTGCCAGTGAGATCTTCAGGCCCCTTTCACCTACATTGCCTTTCTAGCATTGGTTTCTGACTTAATCATTTTTCTATTTTGCTCCGCAAATTTGGACATTTTGAGAAGGCTGAAAAGAAAACTTGTTTAGCATCCTTCTGGTGAATAGATAATTGGCATATAGATAGATAGATAGATAGATAGATAGATAGATAGATAGATAGATGACAGATGATATAGATGATAGAGAGATGGTAGATAGATACAATGATATATACATAACTAGAAGGCCCAATGCTTCAGAAACATGGAGATCTTTTCTTCTTTAAATTCACAGTGAGAGACGTGGATAGGGAGCAGTGGTTGCTGTCAGTGTACCCATCAGCAGCTGGCATCACTGAATGAAAGCAATATTTGCTCTTCAGAGGGGCACATTGTCTAACAGCCATGCCTTCCATTTTTCTGAGTATCAAAATGAGATAATTTTGTTTAGTCTGGAGTTATAGTTCGGGAGGCTTTTAGACCTATTTTCTCTGTGAAAGGATTCATAAGTTATGTGGAAACAATGTTAGGAATGCTAAATTTTATTTTATGGTTAACAGAAACCAATGTCTCGAAGCTGGGGGAGTCAGAAACTTAAGACATGAGACCTCATTTAACTCTTGCTCAACTCTGTTACTCGGGCTTGGAGAAGCAGCGTCTTCTTTGCGTACGCTGTGCCTGCATGGTGCTTGTAAAATAAATCCACTTACAGACAGAGTGTCGTTTTCAGAAAAAGACCTCCTTTAAGGCAAAGCCATCCCTGAATCCTGTGAGACTTAACCATTTTTGGCTTGAAACTCTGGGTCTGAACAGCGACGCCAGTTTGACCACAATGGGTTGATGCGGGCTGCATTTTCAGGACTGTCAGGCCTTGAGCCAGAACCCCCTCCCTTGAGCTCCTTCCCACCCAAAGGCAGCACAGAGTTTGTGTGCTGCGTGGAAGTCAAAGGCCTGGGTGTGTGCTCAGTAAATCCTAACTAGGCACCTCTTGGAAACCAGCTGGCGGTGGTTAAAAGAGGAAGCCGATTTCCCTTAGTGCAGTAGAAAGAACTGTAATCCCGTGCAGAGGTGGAAGCAGCCTTGCTCTCCTCTCCCTTTGATTTCAAATGCTGTGTCTGAGATGATTATCTCTTTGTCTGCATGCCACCAGCTAGTGTAGAAATTTGGGGATTAAAGAAAGCAGTTGTTTTAGATCTCTCCTGCTTTCCAGCTGGCAGTGGTGCCCCTCCATTCTCCCTCTGTGCCCTTTGCAGCTTTGGAGAGCTTGTCATGGTGCTTGTTGATACTGGCCAGGAAGGGGTGAGAGGAGTTGGATGAGATTTACAGCAGGAAGTGATGGGCTGCTGCTCAGAGGTTTAGAGCAACTCATAGTAGCCCTGCCTGGATCTAGTGTGCTTTGGACTGCATGAACCCCACTGGGCCTGGCAAATTCAACAAGGCCGGTCATCTACCTGTGAGCCAGTGTGCCTGTCACAGCACCCAACAACCCTTGCAGGCTTTTCCTAGACAAGGGAGCAAAGAAAGTGGACTGTTTCCTTGTGTCACTTTAAGAACATACATTTGGGGCTGGGGAGATGGCTCAGCAGTTAAGAGCATTGACTGCTCTTGCAGAGGACCTGGGTTTGATTCCCAGCATCCACATGGAGGCTATGAACCATCTTTAACTCCATCCAGTTCCAGAGGAATCTGAAGCCCTCTTCTGACCGCGGCATTGCATGTCACAGGTGCACTCACATACATTCAGGCAATACACTCATACACATAAAATAAAAATAATAAATAAAATATTTTTTTTAAAAAAGAACATACATTTATAGCTTCTAAAAAGTTAAATGAAAGTCTGGAATTTAATTGTCTTTTAGGTGAAGAATTGGCATCAATGGTAGGTTCCTCCCTTCAATAGTTTCAGATGATTCTTGAAATTTTGATGCCAGGGCATTTCTAGTATTACATATATTTATTCATGTAAATAAAATAGTGTTTCTCTTTTGAATATGTTGTCAAAACGAAGGTAGGGCAGGGGCAGAGTGGGAGACAACCCATGGAATTTGAGGAAGAAGTGTTTTGCTTTCTTAGACATTAATATCTTTAGTTAAATCTGTTTTCAGCCAAATGACTTTAAGGAGATTCTAAATGATCTCATTGTATTGGAGTTGTGGTACACTGACAGCAACTAAAATTGTGTGGCTGGGTTTGGTGATTTTCATTTTTCATGGATGTTAATTAGTATAGCTTTTGGGAAAAACAAATTTTATTGAACCCATTTATTCATTCAATGGGTAATACTAGCGTTGCCTATATGTCCCCCTCATTTGATAACTCTGTGACAGAATTGCTCTTTTATTTATGCAGATAGAGTAGTACAATATCCTAAATATTTTTGTTCTCAGGAAAACCGAAGATAACGGGTCAAAGAACAATGACCAAACAACTATCTTGAAGTATGAATTTAGGGAAGATGGCCAAAAATGAGGAAAAAACAGTCGCCTGTAATTTGACCACCTCGTTAAAGCCACTGTAAACATTTTAAGTATTTCTCTTCTAGGTGGCAGAGATGCCAAAGTATTAATTTTATATATTTAAAGACAATTTTAACAAAAAATAACTTCATACTGCACTCTGTTAAGCTTTTTATTTTTTCAGTACCATGAGGTATTTCAAACATTTAATACAGTGACTATGACAAACACCTGCCCCCTCACCATGCTGGGTTTTTCTTTGTGGGGGTCGTCTTTTTGAGACAGGGTCTCCCTGTAGCCATAGCTGGCCTGGAACTCTATGTAGACCAGGCTGGCTTTGAACTCACAGAGATCCACCTGCCTCTGCTTCCCTAGTGCTGTCACCATGCTGTTTTTAGCTTGTGTTTTCTTATTATAGTACTTTGTAAACCTTTTTACTAACACTGGATTTTCCTTGACAATACCATTTTTAAAAAATATTTTATTTTATTTTATTTGTATACGTGTATTGTCTGCATGTAGGTAAGTGCACCTGTGTCGTGCAATGCCCACGGAGGACAGAAGAGGCTGTCGGATCCCCTGGAACTGGAGTTAGACAGTTAGCTGCCATGTGGGTGCTGGGATTCAAACCCTGCTCTTCTGTAAGAGCAGTCAGTGTTCTTAACCGCTGAGCCATCTTTCCAGCCCCAACAATACCATTTTTAATGATACACTTTTGTTTAAAAGTGATATTATATTTTAAACAATCTATTATTTGTCATTTATTGTATTTCCAGAGTTTTTGCTCTCAAAAGAATACTGCTTTTTAAGAAGCTTGATCCTTATTTCTCTGTTTTTCTAGCCTAACTTTATGTAAGGAGAATTACAAGATTGTGGTTATGTGCATTTTTAAGTATTTGGATATATATGACTAAACTTCCCTAAATTTATTCTTGGTTTAATGGTGAGTTTGAGAAAGCCTGTTTTTATCAACTCTTACCAGTCTAGATATTGCCATTTAAAACAAAAATAAAAATCAAATAAAATCCCAGCCAGTTTGATTAATCAAGAATGATGTCTCTTTGATACCTTTGCATTTGCATTTCTGTGATCACTGATGAGAATTGAACATTTAAAAATTGGTTCATAATACTGTTTTTCATATGTAATGACTTTATGTTCAAATGTGATTTTAATCATGCACAGCAGCAAAACACATTTTATTAGTAAGAACTTAATGGAATCTAATCTTTTCCTTTTGACATTCTAGCTGTATCAGAGATTTAGAGCCCAATGAGTTATTTTTTAAATAACTGTACAAATTTCTGTCCTGTCCCCTTTTCTGTCTTCTGCCTGCCTACTCCCCGCTTGCTGTGCCTGCAAGCAGAAGGCCTCAGGTGATACAGCTCGGCCAGTTCTCCTACAGGTCGCAGAGTCAGCCTACAGGTTTGGTCTGGGTTCTATCGCTGGAGGTTAGTCATGGATGCATGTCAGTTTGTTACTTTTTCTGTTCTCGTTGGTCTCTTCTCTGATCTTCTACCTTGCAGTATCCAGGACAGACCCTTCTCTGGTCATTCCCCCAGCCAGTACCAGTCTGTGTCTATTAGGTGGGACCAGAGCGTGAGCACTTCTTTCTATGCTTGCACACCTTACAAATGACATTTCCCTCTCCCTTTTCTTAAAGCATGCTTTCTAAAGACAGCTTAATAGGGAGGTTAGGCTTCCCCAATAGACTTTTCATTTAAAGTCTACTGACATCCTTTTGTCAGAGGACACTTGAATGAAAATCCACAGTGGTTTGTTAAGGGTGGATATAGAAAGGTAGTACAGTTTTAAAATCTGTGCATGCAAAACTTGTTTCTATTTTCAGCCTTTTCTCCTTCCCCGTGGCTCACCATACTTAATTCCCTCTGAAGTATTGATATTGCTTAATTTCAGCTGTTGGAGCCACTGCTGTGTATCCGATTGATCTTGTAAAGACTCGAATGCAGAACCAACGATCAACTGGCTCTTTTGTGGGAGAGCTCATGTATAAAAACAGCTTTGACTGTTTCAAGAAAGTGCTGCGCTATGAAGGCTTCTTTGGACTCTATAGAGGTTAGTACAACATAGAGTGGTCGTGCGCTGTATTCATAGCCAAGGGCTCTCTTTCCCATCCCAGTGCCTGAAATGAATTAGAGAGGCTGTGTTAAAATAGAAATCCAGCGGATTCTTAATTATCCATGCTAATGGGTGTAGGCTGGCGGCATCTAGGGCATGGCTAATCAAAACAGCCCATAATCTGAAAGCCATTTATATTACTCTGTTGTGTGTTTTATTTCCTAAAATAATAAATTATTTTTATAAATATTTTCAAAGTTTTTAAAAGACTCATTGTTTCAGTTCTTGAAGGATTCTACTCACCGACTACCAAGGAAAGCTATCCCAGAGATGAGACAAAGCTTGCTTAAGATTCCCAATTCTTCTGGAATGTTCAGTGGTCCCTGTATCCACAGTGTTACTTTCTGTGGATTCAGTTACTCATGATCAACCATGGGCTAAAAATATTAGCTAGAAAATTCCAGAAATATACAGTTCGCAAATTGTAAATAGTGTGCTAGTCTGAGGAACATGATGAAATCTCCAAAATGCAGCCAATGATTCTCCTAACATTCGCATATCAAGAGCACCCTCCTGAGACACCATATGGTCACCTATCTCTCTCCTCTCATACCTAAGGCATTGAAGAATGGGACCAGCGTGCTAAGATAACTTTGAGAGAGACCGCATTCATATCATTTAATTACAGTATATATTTATGGTCATTTTGTTAGTGTTATTGTTAATTTTTTACTGTGCCCTATTTGTGAATTAAACTTTACCATAGGAAAGAATGGTAGATACAGGATTTGAACTGTCCAAGGTGTCAAGCACCTGCTAGAGGTCTTGAAATACACTTGCTATAGATGGTATAAGGATTTCTATACCAGAGAAAATCTGTCAAACAGATAGCCAAGTTTTCACTGGATGCTGCTTCACCCACCTCTTCCTCTATTAATTGACCATTCCCTTTATCTGACTGCATGCAGCGGAATAGATTGACAGGGCTCTGTAACCATGGCATCCTCCATTTCCACCTGCTTCTTTGACACAAAAGGTTCGTTAAACAGTGTTAACAGGAGCAAAGAGTGTGTTATATTAACACACACAAAAAAAATCCACTGACCTGCTTTGCTTGTGGCCTTGACCTAAGTTTGCTTTTTTCCAGCTTCCCTGTCTGTGCTTGCCTTCATCAAAAAGGAAAGGAGTACATTTGCATCAGCTAAAATGCAGAATTGCAAAGTGGCTCCTGCCAGGCCATGTTGCCACTTGTCCCATTGTAGCCCTCCCCTCCTCTCAATACCAGAGCTTGGTCTAGAAGTGAAAATAGCATCTCCACTCTGCTGAGGCAGATGGTGAAAGTGGCTGCCTTATGTCCTGGGCCTCCAGGCCTCTTCTGCCATCTGCTGACTCTAGTCTCCAAAGGAAGCTCCTGAGTTAATAAACAAAACCCTGTCACCTTAGAAGCTGGGAGGCTTCCAAGTCCAGAGAAGTTCCACTCTGCAGGTGCTGTTGTGTAGGTAGCTAGCCCCTCATCAAAGGCCTTTTGATCTCTTCCCTGCCTCCTTCCCTTGCCCCCTGCCTCTTGCAATTTGGAAGGTCTTTGACCCTGGGTGATTGATGATGACCCCTGTAGGGTCACCACCTTCCATTTGAAATGCCTTTCCTCCTTGCTGACAACAACCTTGCAAATAAAAATGGCTCCCAAGTAGTACAAGGTTAATGTCACAGTTATTCTTTGCAGTAAGTCAGGCAAAACTGACCACCTTGCTCCTTTTTTTTTTTTTTTTTTT